GGGAAGAAAAACCCTAGCAGCAAGGCTAATGCTGGTGTGAAAATTTGTCATGGTGACACTGATGGTACTGAAAGTCCTACATTGTAATGATTGGTTTACAATAAAAATTACTTCAAAAGCTAGGTCAGAAAAAAGATGATTCAGTCCATCAAATCAATGTCAACTGTAAATTAGGTTGCCCATCCCTAGGCAATGGGGAACATAATTGGCTTTGCCCAGTGCTGGTTTTATTTTTATCTCTTCTATTAAAGCCAAATTCTTCCCTCATTTACACTGGTGCAATAAGAGAAATGCCTTTGATTCAAAAAAAGTTACTCATTATTTACTTCCAAATAAATTAGTTTGACTTTACATTTGTAAAATCAGCTAAGAAATGTAAGGTTTCTTTGGCTATAACTCACTAAATAAAATAATAACAAGGATGGATTTTTGAAGGCTCCATGCTGAAATAATCTTTACCCCAGTTATTGGCCAATGTTACACAGAAAGAAGAGGAATCTCCTTGTCTCCTTGATAATCCTTTAAATACTGTATTATTTATTTAATTAGTCACAGCTGTGACTGTTCTTTATCTTCTTCATGCAATGCATAGGGCCCAAATTTTGAAGTCCTTATTCATATTCCTGAGTGTTATGTTTCTATCTAAACGGCACTTCCAGCTCCTGCCAGCTCAGGTATATTGAGTACCATCGAGGAAATCCATGGAAAAATTAATATGGACTACACGGCCTGTAGTTGCAGTGGGAGGTTGATATATGTCATCCCCAACCCGCAGCTGGAGTGCTCAAGCTCTTCTTTCTTACCAACTTCCACTTTCATCATCCTGGATCTAGAGAGCTGAGGTTTCTGTGGAGCCATTTCTAAGGGCTGGGTACTTGGGACTAGAAGCAGCCCAGCTCCAGCCCCTACAGATACAGATCCAGAGCTCCCTACACACTTACAGAACTATAGAGGGGTGTTTATAATCTGTTTTTATCTATCTCAGTCCACATGCTACACATGCTGCAAAAGAAATACGTGTATAGGTTATAGCCTATCAAAGACATAAAATCTGTTCAAATACATGAGCAAGGGGCCAAATAATTCAGAAAGGATAGATGCAGGGGAGACATAAGTCATCTATGGCAATAAAGAAGTAAAAATTCTTTATTCATCTCCTATCAGTGCATGATCCATTTATATTGCATTTGCCTCTGCATGTTTATATGTACAGCAATAATTATGACTTAGCATTGTCTCAGTTTCACACACACTAACAGATGCTGAAAACCTGAAGCTAGAGACAAAGGTTTTTTCTTTTTTTTTAAATTTTGCTAGAAAATAAAACGTGTATTAATGATCCAGCCACCCTGAAACCTAGTAGAAAGGTATAGTATTATAACCGCAAAATAGCACACCTGCATGAAGTGCATACAGAAGCATTTGGTGTGATATAGGAAAAAAATAGAATTTGGTTGTGCGAATACCTACTTGATTCCCTTCAGGATTTTCTGAAAATTGAGCCTGCACTTAAGAAACAGAGCAATTGCCTGCTAATACTCTGAGCTTAGCTCACACTCCAGCTGTTGCTTTCTCCTCCTCCCAAGGCTGGGAAAAGCGTGTGACTAATTCTGAAAAGCTGCTGCTGCTACTGGTGATGCTGCAGCTCTGGGATCAGCCTTCTGAGCTCCCAAACCCAAATTCCTCTTTTAGCTCCAACCTTTAGCTGGTAAAGGAACTAACCTTAGCAGTGGGAGAAAAGGCTATACGGAGCGCCATCTGGGGGAGCCTGCAGGCATCTGCAAACAAAACCCACCCAGCATGGTTATTATGATGCAGCGTGATATTCAGCAGTGTTTTTAGAGAGTGAAAAACCCAAGTACTCACTTCACATTACAATCAGCCTATGCAGAGCAGCCTTACAACGCCTTCACATATCTATGTTCTTTCCTCACAAATTTCTGCTTAGGGACCTACAAGATAAGCAGTCACCCACAAAGCTAGAACTGAAGAAAGCGACTATTTGATACTATTAATATTGCTAACTATTTTTGCAATAGCAGACAGTAAGACAGCTGCACGGAGGGGCCAACCCAGGCCACAGCGGCTGCAGCTCGATGACAAGGACAGTAAGGGAAATACTAAGATTATCAGAATGTTTATGCTTAAATTGTGTGTTTACATGTATATTTTAATGGCTAATTTATGCCTCTGTATAATTTAACAACTTGCAGAGTAATAAAGAGGATCTTCCAACAAATCTAAATAACAAATCCATAACCCCAAACCTATCTGGTGTGTTTGAGATCTCTGTAGTTTGGGACTATATTATTGCAAATCTGTTTCAATTAGGTTTGCCATGATAAGGTTGTCACATGACATTGTGTTTAGTATTTCAATGAAAGCCCTGTGGATTAGTGTCCCCTGAAATCTCTCTAAGCAGCTTTCTGTAAAATGTGCTTTATATGGATAATTCATGAAACTGCATGAGATAAAACATTAATTATTGCTATAAAAATAGAGTTGCATTGTTTTGTATAAATCTATGCTAACATCCATTTTGAATTTTATTAAAAGATATTTAGACTGTGAGTAAATTAAAACAAAACTTTTTAACATGTAATGGAAGAACCAGAAGCAAGAGTACTTCATCATTTTTACTTCCTTTTTAAGTGAATCCAGTGAACCTTGTTCTTTGCTGGCCTGCATCTTGTATATTTTTTTAACACTGTACAGACTGGGTATCACACATTCCCATTTTGGCCTTGTAGTGTTTGAAACCTCCTTGGCCCCCGTATAAGACAGGCAAAAATCAAGCCAGATGTTGTCATAAACTTTCTGCAGCTCTCCTGCTTTCCAGGGTTTGCCTAATTTGAATGTAAAATATGTTTTATATGAGTTTTTCAAGTACATGTTAAAGTATTTTTTAACTAGAGATCACTAATGATCAGGAATCCTAGTTTGTTTGAAAATTGAAAATTCTCTGATAACCCCCTCCCCCCAAATTCTCTGATTAAAAAAGCCCTAAATCCATGTTTTTTCCGCAGTTAAAATGAAACCCCAATATATAGATAGGTATCAGTTGAACACAATGTTTTATTGCTGTATTTCAATTTTAAAGCAATTTGGAAGGCCACCAGTGCCTCAATCACTACAATAAAATAAATTCTAAATACCTGTACATTTTGGCATTTAATTTGGGGGGGGGCGGTTATCGTGGAAAATCAGAGCTTCCCCTGCCCCTTTTGCTCATCAGGATGTGGGTCCAGCTGTGGCTGTCCCTGCCCCGCTCCACTGGTTTGTGGTTCTGAGCAGCCCTGATATGCCGGTGCCCTGCCCATGCTATTGCCCCTCATTCCTGACCCACAGTCCCCCAGCCCTGGTGGTGCCCCTCACTCCCCACCCCTGCTGGAGGGGGCCCCCAGCTGCCAGGGCTACTCTGGTTCATAGCCCTTTAGCCCCCACAGCAGTGCCCAAGCCCTGGCTGCCTCATGTGGGAGGCAGCAGCTGCTGCAGTAGAGGAGAGTACAGTGCTCAACTCTCCCTCCCCCAGGGCTGGCATGGCCCGAGCAGAGCCCAGTGAGGGAGAACAGATGTGGGCTGCCCACTGCAGGCTCAGGCTCCCTGCCCTGCTGCCTACCCCCTAAAGCCTCTGCAGCAGGACCCACCGTGGCAGGGAACAGCGGCATGAAGAGGCTTGATGCCACCACTGTGAGCCCTGCCCCACCATCGTGAGGAGCTCCCTGCCTGCCAGGAAGCAGTGGGAGTGGCAGCACAAGAGTTGTGTCCCTTGCTGCTGCTGGGTGGGCAGGGGGTGCTTTGCCGTGGCGGTGTGGGGTTTGCGGCAGCAGCATGAAGCTTACCCACCCAGCCCTGCTCTGCCCTGCCATGCCAGGTCCCACCCCCTGGGCTATACCTCTGTAGGGGGCAGGCAACAAGGCAAGGAGCCTGAGCCTGGCCCACACCTGCCCCGTGCACAAATCTGGGGGGCATGTACTCCCATGCCCCCCATCCCTTGCAGGAGTGCATGCAGTGACTAGGAGCCAGCCCCCCCCCAGACAAGCCACCCGCAGCCCCATCCCATTCTCTGCCCAGGTCCTGCAGCCGTGCATCTGGCTGTGGGCTCCACGCGCTGCCCTAGTTGGGCAGCAGCCCCAGCCCTGCCCAACTCCCTCCCTCTGGGGGCCTCGATCCCCCCTCCCACCAGACTCATCTGCAGAAGCTGCTCTTCAGGCTGCCTCATGGCCATATGCATGTGTACACACACACATGCAGATGCCACCCCCTGCCTCACTGCCCTCCTCCTTCCCCCCAGCCCCTTGCAGGAGCTTTGCCAGCCTGCAAGAGTAAACCTGCTCTTTCCTGGGTTTTTCTCCTTAAAATGAGAAAATCCAGGTTGTATTGTGTTTTTCTGTCATGAACAGAAAACCCAGATCCCTGCTGATGATGTAATTTATGTGAGGACAGGGACCTTGCCCCACTGGAAAGCAGGTGTAACGCTACTGAAGCCAAGGTCCTAATGTTGGGTTGTTGGTTGTAGCTGTGTTGGTCTAAGGACATAGAATGGTAAGGTTCTGATGTAAAACTGGGTGGGAGAGGTTGCACAGTTCCTTACCTGTGACATGTGCACAACTGGATGTCTTTAAAACTATCATCTTTTTAAACTAATTAACAAAAAGTTTCTATTGGGATAGTGAAAACTAAGTTCCCGAATAGTGTAATGGAAGGGGCACACAAGACACGTGTTCTATCCTCAAGCCTAACAATGAGCATGTTGGGCAAGTCTGTGCAATTCACAGTGAATCTGTTTCCCTTCGTATCTTGTCTATTTATTATAATAAAATCTTCAAGGGGTGGGGGGGACCAGCTCTTATAATGTGCTTGCACAATGCCTAGCACATTTGGGACCCCATTTCAACTAAGGACTTCTGGATGCCATTTTAATAATAATATTTAATTACTAATAAAAAGGATTCTAGTGATGAAAAATGATAACAAAAGATTGAAACCAGCTGACTCACCTAAGCAGCTGTCATGGGCTGGAGCAACTGTATCTGAGCAGAGACTAGCTCTAGACAGGGAGCACTGAAAGAATGCCAAAAAGGAAGAATGGATGCAACTTTTGAAGATATCCTGATGGATGCATATTCACATGGCCTTTTGCTATTGTTAAATCCTCGCTTACAACGGGTTTAGAAACTAATGACAAAAAAGCAGCTATTGAAACTAAAAAGCTCGGGCGGGGGGGTGCTGAAAAAATTATGTAAAACAAGTCTCAGAGTCACATTATTTTTTGCACAGTACCATAATTTCAAGCATGAAAGAGGATAAGTATACATGCATTCACATACATATTTACACAGATTAAAACATTTTGCGTGCTAGGATTGTCTTTTTGATGATGGGTTTCTCCAACATTTTGCACATTTAGACCTGTTTCTGGACCAGGAAGGGGAGAGTGAAGGGATTTAGGGGCTCTTCCCTCTTAACACTGTTTAACTATCACAAATTTACCTTAACATGACTGGTATAATATGCCTCTGGCACAATCCAGTGCTAGTTATAGCCCCCCTCAAACATAAAAGTCAACCTCTGGCGATACACTGACTATGTAGGGTCAGCCTGAGCCACCCTTTTATTATGTGGAAAGGTAATCGGTGAGTTGTCTCATTTTCATCTATGAAACTATTCACAGAACAAGGGCTACAGGAATCAGCTCCAGAGTTCTTTCTAAATATAATAGATTGTGATTTTTGCTGAGAATTCAGAAGATAGGCATGACACTTATTTATGCTCTTGGATTCTCAAACAATATCTGGTCATTTCATTTATGTTTCCATTAAATATTTTATTTCAGCTGTTCCTCAGCAGTGTTCCTGCAGTTGCTCAGCTATAAACCTTTCACAGTAGAAGGCGTAGCTTGTTATTTGATGCTTGGGCACCGTATACCCCATGAGCTGAGAAACTATATACAATTTATTCATTGGATGTTAAGCTCAGTTAAATCAACAGATGACAGGAAGCTTCACTGTTCTTTTAGAATACCTAATATTGGATGCAATAAAGGTACTTGTGACAAACTCAGCATTTCACAACTTTTAAAATGTCACTTTTCCCCCTATATTACTAGTATGGAATATTTTTCTGTCTTCAGGGTTACTAACTCTTCATATTTTATTGCAAGTATAATGTGATATTTGGGACTTTTCTTAAAGTCTCAGCTCTTGGAATCTTTAAACCCAAAGGAAGATTAAAAATTCCAAAATTAGTTTATTTTAAATACAATGATGTTAATCCCACCTCATGATTTTTAAGCCCTGAATTTTTAAAGCTAGGGGTAGACAATAATGTATCGGTATGTTATGATAGCTATGCAAACTATCCTATGCAGATGGACAGAAGGTGAACTCATGCCTTCTTTTAAGGTCCATTATTTTAAATGCCAATGTATCTACATAATTCTCTACCTATTTTTCGTACAAAACTACCAAAAACTTCAATGGCATTTTTTGTTTTTGTAAGGATAGATTATAGTAAACGTATATTTCATTCCTTAATGTGTAGTGAATACTATTTTTTAGAATGACAGATAGGGCCTAATCTTCCAGTCCTTATACTAAATAACACATTTAAGTTAATGATGATTTGGGAATTCAAAAGAACAGGCTGAAAGTAAAAGCTATCAGATATTAGAGGAAGATGCAGTATGATTGAGCACTGTGCTTACTGATAGTTCAGTTACATAGCTCAAATTCTATAACCAAGACTTAGTGAGGCTTAAAAAATGTAAAAAAAAAAAAAGCGGGGGAACGTGGAGTGCTATGTTTTGGGGTTTTTTTACTTTTTCAAAATCTGGAAGGAATGCATTTTGGGTTGTCTCTGGTGAAGGTATAAAAGTGTGGATTTGCAGTACATCAGTTAAAAGTTATCTCATTTTGATTTACTTTAGCTTTCCTTCAGCCTTCTTTTTTAAGGGTTTGTTTTAGTGAACAGGTCCTTTTTGAGAAGTTCATGGATCTGTGATCAAAAAAATGGTTGCCAACACCAGTGCTTCTAAAAAAATTTTCAGTTATATTATACAAAAGGGCAAAAGTCCAAATAAACTAGTAAGCAACGAATGTGAGTACTTGGGGAAAAAAATGAAAAACAGCTTTTCTCCAGAATCCTCCAACTTGCATAAAATTTTATTGCCAGTTTTGAGACAAGAAAGTAGGAAATTATTGTACTGAGTTTTAAAATGTTATCCATTACCTGCTAGAAATCTAAACGTTGTTGTGTATGGTCAACTATTAAATCAAACTCAAGGTCCTAAGGCTTGATTTTCCACTCCCTTGCACCAGTTCCATGCTAACGTAAGTCCACTGACTTGAATCGCAGTAATGTAAGATTGGTAGGAATCAGTTGGTTTGTTTGATGGCTTCATAGCTGCCTCCACTGCAAATCAGACACTGTCTCTCTCTTCATTACCAAGACTTACTGTAACAACTGTGTCATCAGGAACCAGAGAGGCAGGTGAGACTTAAAGAAACAGAGGATAAATCATTCTTGTCATCTAGCCCATGGCTTTTGAACTACCTTCTGTAAGAGATTAAAATGACTAGACATCACGCTGCCTCTGGATTGAAAGACAAAGTCTATCCCTATGCAGTAGCATTTCCACAGTAGTAATTGCAAGGAGTAACTAAGTCAATAAAAGATAAAGGAAGAAAGGAGAAAAAGAGAAAGAGAAGAAAAAGAAAGGGGAGGAGGGCACTACGTGTGAAACTGGCCTGAATGAAAACAAAGAAAAGGCTCTCACTGACATCATTGAGACAAGGGTTTCACATTGAATGCATGGAAAAAAGAGGAGAAACTGTAGGGCAGAGATTCTCAACCCTGATGCCAAGGCAACCTGGGGTGCCTTAAGATCTTTCAAGGGTGTTGTGGCCCAAGGGGTGCATGGCCTAAGGGGTGCCACACAGACGCTTCAAATAGAAATCCAGAGTGTTAAAAAGATTCTGCTCTGCTGTGGTCTGAGTTATTTGCAACAAAAATAAGATACTCTATTGTCTTCCCATAGTCAATAAACTAGTGAAAACAAAGAGCTATCATTTTATGAGGGTGCATCAAGTTTAGCAATGGATGCTTCAAATCTGAAAAGGCTGATTATTTATTGACTTGCATAATTTTAACAAATGGCTCAGAGCCCTCATGGTCAACTCATAAATATATAATCTATATGATGAATGCTATTCACTTAAATGTATAATGTGAATGCCATTCACTTATAAATATATAATCTATATGGTGAATGCCATTCACTTGACTGGCAAACTAGACTAGGCTTCTGCTCTATGAAATACAAAGGCTATTCTGGCTGTTTCAAACTATTTCCTCTAATGAACATTTGAAAATGTGACCAGTTTCCAAATGACTTTTATGTGATTTTTTTCCATTTAAATGAATGGAAATTTTGCCATTGACTTGACTGGGAGTAGGATCAGAAAGTCTTTTTCAAGCAGGTTGGACTTCAAAATTTTCTTTCCACAAGAGCAACAAATATTCTCGTTTACACAGTATCCAATAGGCCAAGAGGAGCTTCTATCAATATATAGTGTAAATAGATTAGTTCTGTGTCACAGTGGTAGTGAATTGCAGTGGCATAACCTGTTTATGATGATGTTTCTAATTCTGGCAACTATAATGCAATACACTGATGCCTGGAAAATCTGTACTGCTGTTGTTTTTAGAGCACACTCTGAATAATCTCTATTTTCATGTATTCAGATGAAGTCAAAGAACTATGTGCAAATTATAGATCCACTGGTGGAAAACAAAACAAGCCCTTGTAGTTGCAAAGAGAAATGGAAATGTATATGTACAGAACATATTATGGAAGATAATGTAATATAACATAAATACCTTGGGGATCCGTTGTAATCAGAGAATGCAGATATAACTTTTTTATGTTGCCAGAACTCTTAGGACCTGGACACAATAATAAGTCTTAGTCTAAAAGCTTTCCAGCCTCACACTTGGATCATTGCTTAATTGTTCTGATTGTGGAAGATATTTCCAAGTCTACATTTTTCCTTCACAGGGTCAGTCTTCAGCTTCGTGTACAACATCAAAATTTGTATTTGTGCTGCAGGGGATTAAAAAATGCCTCCCTTTGGCTTTGCTACAAAAGACACATTATACTGGCATCAGGTTCAATGTGGTTGATGAGCTGTAGAAAGGTCTAGTCGAAACATGGAAACATTGAAGAAGCTACATTTCTGCATTAAAACAGCTCATTCATAATTTCTACAGTTCTGATGGGAAGATATCACCATCAGGGAATTAATCTACCTTTGATACACATATGAAATTCTCAGTTTTCACAGTAAGCCATTCACATGTGTCCATGGCAGTATATTACACTAATAAAGGCCAATGAGAAACAAATGGTATGTGAGGTTCCCGGCCACCGTTAATACATGTGCACTTAAAAAAATGGTTGATTACATGTCTGAGGCAGAAAAATATGTATACCTACAACTCCAGAGGAAATGGTCAAGATTATTCTATCTTTAGACAAAAGCGGAACTTGAAGTGTCTGCATTTTGGATATTAGGCATAAATCAAGTGACTGTATCCATTGAGGGCCCCCCCTCCTTTGTGGCCCCCCTCCTTTGCGTAACTCTCTCTTTAAAAATGTATATTGCCTTAAGGAGCAATTTGCACTTATGGTTTAAAGTTGTTTGCTGTTCTGTTTGAAGCCTAACATTTTTTTTCTTCTCTTAGTGCCTTTTAATATTTTTACCTATCTTTAAATGATGAACAACAAATAATTCCCGTGCTTCTAAATTGATTTAATTTGTCTCAGGGTCACTAATGCATGGGAAGGTTTTGAAGTTTTTTTGTGCAGCTCATGTGACAAGTGTCCTTATATTGAATTTAAATTAGTATATTATTTTGCATTTCCCGTATGCAATATGATACCTTTATAGCATTTTTATCAAATGTATGCTATCTGCCATGCTACTATATTAGCTATAATAGATCTATCACAGAAAGTATGGGCCAGCAATCTGAGGGCAAATATGTAATTATTTGCCAGTCTTGCAGTATCAATATATAGTGTTAAAAATATTGGCTGGGAAGTTCAGATGGCCTAAGGGAAATACATTTCCAAATCTCAGAAAAAATTAGTTCAGATAGATGCCTAATTCTCTTAACTCCTTTAAAAATCCCTGTTTATAGTTTTTATATGTCATCCATTTCATAGGTATTCTCAGATGTGTATACAATTCAAATAATCTGTGTCATCTATAAACAGAATGTCAGCTAAAATATCTGTGCTGCCTAGAATATTTAGCTTCAGCTGAGCAAACACTCATGCCGACTAAAAAGATCTTAATTTAGGGCCTTATTCTGCTTCTATTGAGGTCAATAGAAAGACCCCCTATCACTGTCAGTGGGAGTTAGTGTCCATTTCTACTCTCTAACCAAGTCAATAGGGAATTTTAAAAATTCCTCAGTGGAAATAGGATACAGTCCTTTGCATCTGATCATATGCTCCAAAACCAGTAGCACAATTTATATCCATTTTAAATTGGTTGATCTAGTGCCAGTGAAGATCTTGGGTGGTAAAATAGGATTGGAACAATGTCACTAGTAGAGCAGATAAATCAGATTGGGTACATTTTGACAAAGGAACGAAATAATACTAAAAAAAGGAGGTTCATGCCATCAACAGTTGGACTAACATGTCATGTGGAGAAAGTGCTCAATTATGTTTCTTCATTTTCAAGGAAACTAGAATGTTTGCAACTTGAGTAATCAGCAACAAACTGACCAATGGCATTCCTTAAGCCATTTTTAATGAGCCAGGATCATCTCAGTTTTAAATACCTTTATGTTAAAACAACCAAACGGTCATCCAGTTAGAAAAAAAAAAAACTGTTTCCCTAGACCACTAACAAGATTGTAAGCTTTTTCCTCTAGCCATTGGTTTGAATTTAGCCTAGCTTAGCAGTGACTAGTGACATTATCATTTGATGACTGCCTGGTAGTTTTTGCAATCACTGATGGTCTCCCTTTTGGATCTGCTTCTGCTCCTATTGAACTTGGTGAGAGAGAGAGATCTTGGCTCCTAATGAAGAGCTCTCCTGAGCACAAAATCACTATGGCAGTTGTCACAAATTGACATTCTCGCTAGCATTCGCAACAAAACAAGCAGAAAACCAAATGGACATGTAAAGCACTCTCTTGCTCCCAGAGGCAGTGCCTCCCAAGCAGATTTGGAAACACACCGGATGGCTTAGGGAAACATGCCCTGTCTCTGTGGTACCTGCTCGGTAGATAAACAGAGAACTCCTGTTCTCCAGGGCTATCCATCTGGCATCTTTCCCAAACACTTGTACATGTGGGATTTGCTTCACAAATTAATCAGCTTCACAGCCCACTCACATCTCTGTTTCACCCCCTCTCTCACCCACACTTGGGAGACCACATGTTCACCTGGACTGATGAATTTTATCTCAAAGCTGCTCCCACTCTTTGTCCTCTCTCTCTGCAGACTGTGCCTACATGGAAAGCATCCTAGAAGCATGGCTCTGTGGAGGTGGCTCGACAGAAATAGACTCTTGCCACTCAGCATATCCTTATGCTTGTAGCTGAACCACTTCTGAACACAGAGCAACAACAAGCCTGCAAAGCCTCAGCTACACGTTGGTTTTACCAACGAACAGAGAAAGCCAGAAAGCGGCTCCCATCTATAATAATTACAACAGCCCTGAGTTCCCCTTGTCCTTGCACTATTTATGACATTCTCTCTTGCCACAGCTTGCTTGAGATACAAGAGACTATTAAACTTGGGAATATTTCTTTCTAGTCAGGTGGAGAGCATGCCTCTCTCTTTCCCCCCAACCCCTGGCACTTCTATAAAGAAAGGATGCCAGTTGGTTTACACTGCAGACTGAATGAAGCATTAAATGACTGCATTAGACTGACTGCAGCGGGGGGAATAGTCGCCTCCAGTGGCAAGGCAAGGCTGTAATAATACTTCCAGAAAGGTGCAATAATTGTTCAAGCAGCCTTGTCTAATTTGTCACAAAAGTTGTCCACCGCTCCTCTCTTGCACGTGCACACAGCACACACTTGCACGTGCATGCACACATACGTTGGCAGAGCTGGAGGGGAAGAGAAAACGTGCATTTGAGGAATAAGGAAAATAATACCAATAATGATGAGGGCGATCATCATAAAAGCAATACTAATGACAGTGATTATAATAATGAATTATAATAACAGTAATAGCCGCGTCCCAATCTAGGCTGCATCAGCAGCAGCCTGCCATCTCCTTCTCCAGGGCCCCTGCCAGTCATTTTGAACATGGATCAGGTTGAGCTGATGCCATGTCGCCGGAGCCAGCAGCCACATCGGAGCCCCCGGGCCCCGGCTGGGAGGGAGGGAGGGAGGGAGCCGGCTCGAGCCGCTCCCCCTCTGCCCGGCTCCGGGGGGAGGACGGGGGCCGTGACATCCTTGCGGGGGCGGCTCAGGACGATCCCGGCTGGCAGGCTCAGCGCCGAGGTCGCTGTCGCCGGGTGGGCGTGAGTGTGTGGGAGGTAAGTCGGGGCGGGGGCAGCCCTGGCAGACAAGGCTCCTTTTCCTGGCCCTCTCGCCGGCGCAGCCCGCGGGGACACAGCCGCGTCCCTCGCAGCCCGGGCCGGGGAAGCAGAGCCGCCTCCGCCTGGCCCCGGCGCCGCATCCTTACCTGCCGCCTGCGCTGCTCGCCGGCCACCGCGCGACGTGACTGCGAGCCGGGCGCAGGAGTTTGGCACAAAGCAGCC